ATTATATACATTTATGTATAGAGAGATGTACAAAGAGACTCTAGACCATTGTATGCCCAATTGTACCCCCTAAGCCCCCTCTTGGCTCAAATCACTGAAGACAGTCTTGAAAGTAAGACATGTTTTCGAGCACCGGTCCTGGGCAAGCCAAACCAGCAAGCCTCTTACGGTCCACGCGGCGCACCAATTCGCTTGAGCCAAGCGAGTGCTGCGATGGGTCAAAAAGTTGACCGAACCAAGATGAAACAAGCTCTTCCTGTTCGAACCCATCGAAGTTGTGGCGCAGCTCAAATAACACTCCTGGGTTTCAACATGGGCAGTTCCGAAGCATCACGTTGCGGCCCTTCCGTTGGCTTGCCCCTTGGGCCGCACCTTGGCCAGTGAAACGGCGGAGTCGGCCCCACCTTCGTTTGCAGCAGTTGGAGGGCTGCTCCGTCGTCTCACAGGTATTCATCGAGAAATCAGCGATTGCAAGCGAAACTACTCTCGGAAGCTGTGAGCAGCTGGTGGCTGCGGATATCAAAGGTCCAGTTCATGAACTCACCGGTCACATCTAGTGATACCAATTTCTCCACATCTGCAGAATCGGTAAGCGCATGTAAGTGCTTGGCTGATGTTGCTTGCTTGAACCTGTTTACAAGTCTTCAGTCTTTTCTTGTTGGGTCGGTCAATGGGCTGATGCCTTCTTTTTGAGGGGGTCCGTGAAAAGGAAGAGAAGGAAACCTCAAACACCATATTGGGAACAATATGGCCCGGGTGATCTTGTACACATAGCAGTCCTCAACGCGACTGAGTCATGTCATGCCAAGGACTGGGTTTTCAGGTTGTTCTTAGATTCCTGTTGTGGATTGTTGTGGGCACAATGCAAACTACTCTTTGCGCCAATGCCACAAACTCATGAGAATATGCCCGGGGTGTTCAATGACTTCAGCTTGTTGTCCATCTCGATCTTTCCGTTCCCACACCCCAATCACATCTCCTTTGCTCGTAGTTCCTCTTTTGCTCTTTTCGCCTGCAGGGCCAATCAATTCTTCGCACTGGTGCAGGCATGTTGAAGTTCGGCAACCTACCAACATGTTTGTACATATGAGATGACGTGAGTCGATCACAGAAGTGTCAACGCACACGCACCGTGTACAAGCAAGACCGCTGTGTTCGAGACATTTCTCCAAATGGCGCTCAGTCTGAAGCTGGCGTCTGGCGATATCATTCCAACCAATCTCCAACCACGGTATTGCATGACATCTTCCAACAACTTAATACTCTCGGAAACACGCCTTCTGACACGTATAACCAGACCGGCACACATCAATCAGTACCCTGTACGGCCTATTGCTTTCTTGGAGTTCTGAAGATAAACAAACCAAGGCGCTGGGGTCGCGCACGTGACCTCGCCAGTCAAACCGGCCGCGGGCCCCAAAGCGAGGTCAAGCCGTTGAGACTTGTGCACACAGGCAGGACCAAGGTCCAGTTTTTGACCATTAGCAACTGCACGCCATATGTGTGAGCAAAGGCCGAAGCCTTGATATGAATTAATTAAGTCAATATATATATATCAATATGTATTTTATTAAATGTATATTAACAATATACTTATTATACAAATCAAGAAACACCCGGATCTTCGAAGAGGCACAAAATGGCACAAATATTCACCTATTCAGGAAAACTATCGTTACGACAATGTTGTTTTAGCGAAGTGAGAAACCAAAAAGAAACGGCGTTTTTAGGCATCCAAATTGCATCTTTTCCCCGTCCATGGATGAGCACATATTGGCAACCCCTGAAACGTCATTTTTTAAATACAGCGCCTTTTCACTGAAAAATATGGCAAAAACTTGTGCAATTTGAAGACCCAGGTATATGTATAGCCTGACCGAAGAAAGTTAAGTGCCAATTTTGGCTAGTATTTTTGGCGTTGGCTGTGTTTCTTGGATCTTCTTTATCTTCTTTGTTGCAGGAATCATTGTCCTTGCGATTAAGCCGGTCTCACTGGCACTGCTTGCAAGACCTGCGCACGGCATGAGGTTTAGAATTTTACGGCAAACAAACAAAACCACTGGAAAAGTACGGGCTGCATGCCAAGTTCTCTGAACAGCAATTAGCGTTTGCCGGCAAACAATGATGAGGGTTGCCATCTTTCTCCGAGGGCACGCAGCTTCCCCACCTCAACTTCGGCTCCTCTTTCTTCTTCTGGAGTTGCTGCGGTCTTGGTTTCAAACAAGGGCAGCGAAGCAGCTCGAGGGCTGACAACATGTGGAGATAAAATGACCTACAGAAAGCGCTTGTCCGGCAGCTTCAATCTACGTCCGGCTGCTCTTACATGCTAGAAACCAGAATCGACGCTAAGCTCCCAGACGTCTGTTGGAGTGCCTTCCACGTGACCGACGCTCTTGCCTGCGACCATTTGAAGGCCATTCCTACTTGTTAAGTTTAAAGAAAATAGGAGCAAGGAGCTACTAGGGGCTCCTGGCATCGCTACTAGTTTTAGTTTACAGATTTTTTGGAGTGAGTAATATTATCCCAAAAATCAATTTTCAAATCGTGTGCCCGTCCTGCTGCGGCTTCTTCGGCCACCGCCGGACTGGCCTCGTGTTCACGCAACCGTCCAGTAAAAATGGGCACGGCGAACTGATGAAATGGTCATGAAACGGATCAAATGGAACAACTGCAGTCGCAGTAAAAAACAATTGTGCTTGAACAAAAAAGGCCTAAAGGAGTTAGGGACTATAGTCGCTCAATTTTACAGTCGTCCCCAAAAATGATCCTTGTGCACCGATAACACCGAATATGAATAAGGTTTCATGTGTATATATTATATATAAATGCATGTGAGATGTGAGATACATCATATATGATAAGATTCATAGTGTTGCATGCAGCATGTTGTTCACCGCTTGCCCGACCATGCCCGACCCAGATCTTGCCTTCCACTTTAAGCCAAGGTGCGCTGCAAGAAAAGGTCACGGCTACCCATTTCCATGTCTCTGGGCTCCCGAGACACCAATGGAGGACCTGCGACTGAGTAGAGGCAGTTCCACTGCACCATGTGATAAGGGATAAGAAGAGTACTTCTTTCGTCGCCCTACAGTGAAGTTCGAAGCGAGCTTCAGGTGCTGCAATTCCTATGGTACCTTTTAAACGATCTCTTGGGAAAGCCCAGCTCGCCAGGCTGGGGAGTGAAGCGAGGCGAATTAGCATAGCCACGAGCCGCTTGCAAAGGCCTCTGCGAGCACTTTTGGAGGCCTTGATAGCCACGCCATCAATAATGACCTGTCAATTTCCATATTTCTCTAACCCCAAGTCGGCATGAATGACAGCAAAATGAACCAACACTCCGAAACTGAAACCTGTAGTTCTCTAGATTCGCAGTGAAGCTGAAGACTTCCCGCTGGCCCTTTGGACACGTGTCCACCATGCCGACATGTCTGGATCCGCCTGTCCGGTCTTAATGGCTTCCAATGCCTCATGCGACACCAATCGTTCGGTCCACATGTATATGATATGTATATCGTATACGGTATACGTACATACAGTATAGACCTATAATATGTGAATACATGCATTCCAACCAGCAAGGACTGTAAGACAAAGACTTGGATTTACAGCAATAAAGCAAAACTTTTTTGACAAAAACACCGGAATTCACAGCTCAGGATGTCCTAAGCACAGGTGTGAGAACAAAACCGATCTTCTAAGTGCGTGGGGTTTAGAATTGAATGTGTGACACCCACACATAGAACATCACACCAAACACACGTAGAACAAAGCCCACAACTGCACATAGAACCTTTGGAAGGAGCAAACATGAGAACTCATCAAAGTCACCAACACCTCCTGTGTGTCCATAAATGTACATACAGCTCCTAGGGTCCTAGGGAGTGAGATTTAACAGGCAAAAAATAAAGCCGTCACTTCTTTCTCTTGGAATGTCTTGTTTTCAGAGTTTTGTTGGTTTGAAGTGGAGTGTGCCTGGCATTCGTGAGCTTTGCAGCGTTGATGTTGTGTAAATCTAATTCAGTCTCGCTCCATTTGGCTGCAGCGTTGATGTTGTGTAAATCTAATTCAGTCTCGCTCCATTTGGCTGCCTTCAAAAACATTGAGGCGTGCACCTTCATTGGAAGAAAGGAGACCTCATCAACAAGGTTGTGACCATGTGAGGTTCGTGTTGGTCGTCACAAGTATACTATTGATAAGGAGACTTGGATGATCTTAGATGCTGTTTTGTGCGTGAAAAGGGTGCAGCGGCTCTCAATGGTTATCCATCTGGTTCTAAGTGTGCTGGCGCCTCATGTTCTCAAGAGTGCATGCCGTCGTTGCTCTGCGATTGCATGCCCTGGATGTTCTAAACGCGATGCTCTTAGTAAAGGGCTTTGGTTTTTGGAAACATTGATGTTCTATATGTGCAATTATGTATATATGTGGGTGTCTGCAAGTATACAACTCTGATCATATGTCCACATATGTCCTCAGGGTCCTTTGGCGAAAAGTTGGAAAAACATCAACACCAAGGGGTGTAGCCAGTTGACCAAGTTTATGCCTTGCTAGCACCACACTGAATAGGCCAAACATATGACTGAATTGACAAGTAAGACATGCGCAGCATCTGCTGCTCGAGGATCAGTAAAGCCTGAGAAGCACCAAGTGGGCACAGCACACGCTAAGACTCAGACTATGACTTTGTTGAGCACTTGCTTCAAGAAGGACAAATTAAGCTGGATGTGGTTATCGGATGCAGCATGACATAACAATGATTATATATTATATATATAGTGCGGTTGCATTGATCCTCTGGGCGAGCTGGCGAACCCAAGGAGGCTCTTTCTCGATGTTGTCTCCTGAAAGGCTCTGGATATCATGGCCACTTTGCTTACATCAAGGCACACACACACACACACGTACCCACATGTAAGCAGCTTTCCGTTGAGTTGGGGCACTCTGACAGCTATGTTGCCTGCACATACGGTGAGGATACTTGCCAAGGTTGGACAGCAATAGCATTTAATTTTCCGCTGAGCCATGTGCAAAGACAAAGTTGCCGCCCCATTTGGGCGCAACGCATCAAGAACAACATGCACTGCCTGCACAGCAAAGGGCACAAATGCCTGCACAGCAAAGGGCACAAATGCCATTTACTCTGCGGGCAGCTCGCATGTCAAACAATGAGCACCTGAGTACGTCATTGACATTGAAAATGAAAAAGCAGCAGCTAGTAATGCCAAACTGGACTGCAAAATCATTCCGTTGCCATCAATTGGGGCTTGCCCTTGCAACATCGCAAAAGAACACACAGGCTCTCGCACAGCATGGCAGAAGAAATGGCCCGCAGCCTGTTGCCCCATCTTGTCTCCCATGTCACGATTGACTTCAGGCAGTAGTGCAAAGCCACAAATGCCAGCAACGACAGCACATTGACCCCAAGTACAAGGAAAAAAACTGCTGTCTCCCACGGCATTGACTTCCCACACATTGTGTTTGCAAACATCGCAAGGATAAAGCCAAAGCAAAGGTATTCCAAAATCCTGGCAGATGCAAATGCCGCCTTTGGCTTGGGGTCAATGCCAAATGTCAATGCAATTGGCACTGATGTCATGGCAATGGCAAAGCTTCCAACGACCAAAGTTGCGAGAGCCAAACACACTACCAGGAAAGGTGAGATCGCAATGAAGAAAAGTGCAAAGAAAAAGTGCCCAATGCTATGACAACTGTGATGCCAATGGGCCCGGCAATGAAGAAGTAAGCGCAAAGCGCAAGCTTCGTCAAGCATGGGAGGCAAGGCAAGCACAATTCCGCACACGCCACATCCCAGTCTTGTGGGCTTTCAGATCCTTGCACTGCGAAATCAGCACCACCCACTTCTGCACAACTTTCGAGACAAAAAGAGAAAAGGCCTGACGCCAGCTCCTTGATTTTATCGGGGATTGACCTGACAAAGCCAGGGATTTTCTTCATGATCCACCAAACGCCCTCCATAAACATCACAAAGAAGTCCCAAAAGCTCAGTGCAAGCTGGCATAAGGCAAAGCTGATGATGGCTAGGGGAACTCCAACGTGTCGCAAGGCGGCGGAGAAGACCACTGCGTAGCCTCCGGCTCGTACAAAGGTGTCGGATGCCAAGTAGACCCAAAAAATGAACTTACCAATCATCGACTCATGAAGTGGAGAGCCAACCAGCTCCGGGTTTGGCTGGGCATCCTTGCCACCATGTTTGCTTTGCCTTTGGTAGCTCCTTCGCTCTGAAAGCCGCTCCTTGGCTTTGGCAGCTACCAAGCCGACCACTGTCCCCAGTCTCGATTTCCTGGGCTGAGAATCGCTCAATGCGCTTTCTAGCTCAGAGGCTTGCTCCTCATCCCCAAACATCTCCTTTGCATGTTCAGGATCTGTATCACTGGAAGATGCTAAACGCCCCAGCATTTCCTCCGCAGTAACGAGCTCTGGAAAAGTCATTGCTAAGGACAGAGAGACGCTGATAATGGAGACAGAAAGTGAAAACACTCGCAGCGGTTGGCCGTGGGCCTCGATTGCGAAAAGCACATATGCCTGGAAAAAGGCTTGTGGAGCTGACTCAACCAATTTGATGATCAGGTCCCTCCTCAATATGGTTTGCTTCTTGTTGTCATCAATGAACCGGTTTCCATGGCGGAGCATATGAATCAAGTCCATGAAGGGGGCCAGCTGGAAGAACGCCACAAGGAAGCTTATTCCAAAAGCAATTGTTTTCACCTCGGGTCCCGAATCACGCTTCTTCAAGCTGTACATCGCTGCCGAACCCACAGATGAGCAAAGAAGGATGGTCACGCTGATGGCAAGCCACCACGCATGAACCTGACAGGTGTTGTCCTCTGAGCTCACAGCGGTGGAATTCAGAAGGGTGGCATCATGGGCCCCACAGTTCAAATTGAGCGGCTCACCAACGTCACGAAGTCCACCAAATTCAAGCAAGCAAAGAAGCTTGTCTTACCAAAGAAGAGCCAGTCAAATACCATGGTGCTTTCGTGGTCATACAACACCTCTACACTGCTGCCAAAACTGAAGCCAACGGGCGGCAAGCAAGCGATTTGGAATCATACTCGCTACTAAGTATGCCAACTGTAGATTCTTAGATCACCCATGGTCTTTGCCAGGACCAAAGCGTCGGAGGGATTTCTGGGTACAGGACTGTTGCCCATGTGGCAAACATCCACATTGCCTTGGGCGAAGCATTGGTTTGGCTGGGTGGTCAGCTTCAGTTTTACTTGAGAGCCCGGCCGAATCTTTCCATCTCCCTTTTCAGGATCATTCGTGTGGTGGTGGCCTGGAGGAAGTTAAAGCATCCTAAAACATTCCACATATATATATATATATGTACTTATAAATATATAAAGAGATCTATATGGAAGACAGGTTGCACAAAATGAGCATGTGTAAGAAGACCTGCCTATGTATATATATATATATACATATATTAAGTGTAAAACATACACGATAGTATACGCATAAGGACAAGTGCCCGCTTCTGAGAATGACTTTCTGGGAAACAAGCGCTGCAGCCACCAATGATCTCCTCAGCTAGCTGAGATTGCCAGATTGCTCTCACACTACTCAAAGGCTCCGGTGATTCAAACAAGGAAACAAAACTACTAAACTTGACAAGGGATAGCATTTTCATGATTGACGATTGGAAACGGACAGCCGCAGGCGCATGCCAAGTCACCAGGGTATTGGCCATGCCGCCGGTTCTGTGCAAGCTGTGGAGCCGAAACACCCAATGAACACGCGCTCACTATGCTAACAGTGAACATCTCCAAATGTAAAGTTACATGTTACATGCTACACCTCCCCAGGCATGCTGCATTCCAGATTGTTTTGTCTTCTCTCGCCACATGGCAGCGCGAGCGTTTGGCTTCCTCTCTATGATGAATCTACCGCTTGCTTGGGCTGGGCTTCCTGAGATCGCAACCCAAGGTGTCAAGGAGTGGTCGGAGTGCGATCCAGCTGTGCAAGAATTGCATTATATAGGTAACAATAGTCTTGTTGATGTCTAGCTCTTTGAGAGATTTTTTCTCCAACTTGCTCCTTTTTGCATGTTCCAATTCTCCAAATGCCCAGTTGCGACTCTTTCTCTTCACGGATCATAGTGATAAGCAGCCTGAGCAAAGCAGCGCACCATGAATGGAAACACCACGCTCAAGGCGCCGTGCTCTTCACCTACAAAACAGAAATATGGATGTAGGAGGCGCAAGCAGCTGCTAGGAGGTGCTGAGGATTCAGCATGTTCAGCATTCTTGTTCTTAAAGTCTTGGAGTTCTAAAAAAAAAACACACCATGTCTTAAGTGGTTGACCAACTGATGCTGAAGTCCAGCCGGGTCTCGTCAGCATCTCCACCCAAATGTCCCGGGAACGATCAATCCGCGAGAAGGTGAGCCGTTGCTTCACCTTGCCACGACAACCGTTGACACACGAGACCTGCACAACACGACCACTGATATTGTGAGACGACCGATGTTGAAAAACCTGCTCCACTCTTCGCATCTGGATTTGACGGGAAAGAATGGTGTTGGGACGTTGGGACATCCTTGATTTTTTTCTTTCAATTTGCGGCCCTTCTTTCATGGGATTTGTGAGGGATCACCATGAATGACTGATCAATTGCAAGTGATTTGTGGCCTTGTTCTTCTCCAAATAGTTGATGATGAAGACCTCCTTCCGCGCCGGGTCTGGCTGCACGCTCAACACCTGCTGCACAAGGGGGATTGATCCCCAAAACTATGGAAGTGTATGGCGCCTTGACCTCTAAAATCCTACGTATACAACTGGTGGAAACGGATGAAAACAACACAGCTAAAACTAGAACGCATTTAAACAGCAATAATACATAATAATACCATAATACCACCCGCTTAGTTTGACATTTCAGCGCTGGCACCTTCAAGAGTTCGACTTCCACCTCTGGATTGTCCCCTTTTCTGCATTGCGACTCATCCTTGTAAATGCAGAGTGTGTGGCGTTTTTGATCCGGAGGTCCTGGCTTTGATGGCACATCAAAGATCCAGTCCATCAGCTCATTCGTCATTAGTCAGTGGCAGCAGCCATACAGAATCACGGCAACTCATCCCCAAAAAAACAGAAAGCTCCTCTCACACAAATCCATTTTGGGTCACGGCGGCCCCAGCTTCCAAACTGATCCAAGGGTCCTGGGCGGAAGTTGCACCAAAGATCTGCACGCTGGCTTACATACCAGGGCCTTTCTCAAGAGGACAGTGTTGTTCTGTACTTGGCAACTGGGTAAGATTTGGGATATTCACCAGCAGTCAACTATCACACTGGTACTTTTCCATCTCAAGAATTGGCAGTTCAGAATTTGAGGCACCTAATGGCAGGCTTCAAACCAATCTTTGTTGAACATGGTGAACATCTGGTGCACTCTAAACACGAGAACTTACCCATGCTATTCTGCAATCAGGAAATGGATGGAAATGGTCGTCCACGCCTTTTGCGACGTGGGCGGTCCGACTCGGAGTCTCAAGGTTTGGACGGTCATTCCAAGCAGACTTAACAAAGTTGACAAGAATGTCAAATTTGATTTCGATTACTTGAATAGCGACATGAAGTTAACAATCATGTCACTCCACAAACTCACCAGTTGCCACGGAATATGTGCTCCCATTATGTGCGCCCCATAGCAGTCCAGCGCATCCCTTCGCGAAAAGTTCCACCTGGAGCTTTTGGAAGGCTGCTTGAACATCAGTGACTCATCCACAAATGAATGGAACGTATTTGTCGAACATATGTCTATAGATGCTATAGACACTACAGATTTTCTTGTAAAACTTCGAAACTTCCAGTCGCCTCGTCCAAACTTAAAAAACACTCCAGTAGCTTCAAACATCGCATGCCAAAGCTTTACATATTTTGGGCAGGCCCAGCCTTGGACAGCTCCTTTGCAGGTGCATCCTGCACAGTCGTCTTAATCACAAAAACGCTCGAAAACATGTGGGGGAACCAAAAAACAAACGTAAGGCAACGGGCATTCAACTGGCCTTCAGTTGTTCGACTATCCTGTCCTATCTCCAAAAAAAGCTTCCATTGATTCATGGAAAGGGGTTAGGGGCTTCTGCCAAAGTGCTGACTGCACACTTGATCATTGATGCTTGTGTCCCTTGTGTCCTCGGAATCTGAGCCACCGCGTGCACGCTCACTTGCCTGGGCCTGGGGAGAACGTTTGGAAGTGGAGCGGAAGCAAAGTTTACTGGCTCAAAGCAACGATACTATCCTCCTTGTCTATCTATATGAAACCATGCAATTGCTGCTTGGCTTTGTCGCTTCCACACAAGCACCTTCTGCAGCTGCGTGCGCAGCATCATGTCGGTCTCTCTGCCTGAGTGCTGACGTAACAATCTACAGCAAGCTACATTTGCAACACAATTTCAAGATCAAATCTAAGACAAGCCCAGCAGCTCATATCCACATCTTGCAAAAGCCCCTTCTCCATACCCTCATCGGTGTCTAAGTGCAAGCTAAGCCTGTGGAGCATGCGGAAAACAAAAATGCTTCACGATGCATCAAGTTTTGCTGACTGTGCCTGACGCGCGGGTTCAGCAATCCTTTGGTTTTCTGCTTCATGGGATAGACCTTCTCCCTGCCCAGGTCCTCGCTGTGAAGGAGGTCCTCAAGGCCGAGTTCGTATCACCTGATCAGTTGACCCTATCCCACCGCCACTTTCAACTCCGCAAAGGGATAGTCGACGGCCTTTCGCTGTTTCGCTCCTTCATGGGATCAAACTTCAAGCTCGCCATTGCTCGGCGCTCTCGCACATCCCAAAGCCTGGAACAAACAAATCCTTTCAATTCTGTTGACTAGTCGATGAATAAAACGCCCCGCAATGGACATGTAGGTCCAGGGTTAATCATCAACAGTCAGCATTCTGATATACAATGATGTGTATGACTTTGACTGACTGCGTTCCAGGGAGCTCAACGAGCACAACATCGGTGCCCTGCTCCACCAGGATACTCAAGGACTCATGGAAAACGGCCTTGGGATTCTCACTGGTGGCTGCGGACCTGAAGACGAGACCGACGCGGGCCGGAGACGCTGCCGCCGAAAACACGACTCTTGTGCCGTGCATCCAAGCGACTGCATTCCAGCAGTGACTCGCACACAAACATTACTCTTCGACTTCCCGCCAGTATACCTGAAGCCAAAGTTTCTCAGTCCCTTCTGCTTCTCAGAGCATCCTAGACCCCCGAGCGGTTTGCGGCCTGTCCACCTGCCCAATCCTCGGGGGGGAAAGGCCTTCGAGTGAGTGGAGGACTCCAAACAGCCGGCACAGTAAGGTAGCACACAAAGAGGATGTAACTGATGTAACACACAAAAGGCGCAGGATGTGAGTGATTGTCATTGATGATCTCTCATGCTCATGGTCACACTCGTGTACTGTAAGGTAACGAACATCAATGAAAAGGATGTCTTTGAGCGACACACAGCTTGGCGCCAAACATCTGGCTGCCATGAATAATTTTGCCATGGGGCAAGGCTTCATGCACAACAACAAGCAGCTCGAAGTCATCAAAAGCGTCGATACCTACAAGTTATCCAAAAACCAAGGTGCCAGTACCATGGACGTTCTCACATGACCAATGTACATGAAGGCTATGATCAAAGGCATGTTTCAAGTTTCTGTACCTGCCACCCAAACGATACTATAAACTGGACACTCCCAGACAGTTTGGATAATTTCATGCATGTTAAAAACATCTCAATGCATTCGACTTGACATAAGTCATCATAAGAAAACACGATTGATAATCTATCCATCCATAAATCAACAAATAAATCGTAGGACTCTCCACTGCTGAACCCAATGCCCGCCAACCAATCACATCATACAGCCTGTGCTGCGCAAGCACCGCTTGCAGCATCCGCAGTCTCTCATCCCGCAGTTGCGGCTGCACCTCCATTGAGGCAATGTTGGATTTGTATTTCGCAATGATTCTCAAAGTTTTCTGCAAACACGGGAGGCCGAACCAAAATACATATTACAAATATACTTATATATATATAACACACTGATGTATACATATAAGATCATAAGTATCAACGAGACCAGCAAAAAACAAGTAGTCTAGACTGCATTCAACCACTGTTGTATCGTTAGCCAATTTAGCATCCGTCACACATTTATCACTTGGTGTCTTGGTGTTCTGAAGGCCTGCTTCAAGAATCCCAATCAATCAAACCCATCGTGCCTATACAGTCCGCACACCGCGCAAAGCGAGACGAAGGCACCACAACCCCTTATTTGCTCCGCGGTCTTGCTCTCAGCATCTATTTGCACTGGATTGAGAAACACTTTACTTTTGTGATAAACTTTGAGGTGTCCAGGAACATGAGTCAACTATAAGCTTTTTCTATGCACTTCGGCCAAGCATCACCATGAGGCAACTGCTGTCAATGCCAAGTCCAAACATACTGCGCATGATTAGGCCGATCATTTCAGCTCGGACCTTGGGAGACTGACAGATTGATAAGATTGCAGAATTAGGTCTCAATCGCGGAAAACACTTATTGATCGTATAACTATATACAGTAAACATTTGATGCCTGAATCCCATCAACGTGGCTGTCTTGTCTGATAATTCTATCCAACTCTGGGTGCTACTCTCTCTGGGTCAGCCTTTCCATTATATAGCAAATTGGGCGTTTCCTTCTTCGTCTTGCCAGTCCAGTTGCGCCAAGCTACCCTGATCAAGGGGGACACGGAATTGCTTGGAATGAAGAAACACACGCGGAGGCGACAACAGGTGGCGCGGACTATGAGCCAGCGCGCTGCGATCAGGCAAGCAGTTGCGCATAGGAACGCAAGTGACAAGACTCCATACAAATGCTTGTTCTGCTCTGGTTGCTCCACTCGCCCATTTCATCTTCTACAGTAGTTACATCTTTGGCCTTTCCTGGTCGGTGACCAGAACCAAAAACAACCAAACCCAGCAGGCACAACAGAATCAGCAAACAAACTGTTGAAGTGACCCGCTGCTGTCTGATAAAACTCTACAGCATGTTTGTTCTTTCAACCTTAGGAGCAAGGACGCCAGTAGGGGCTCCTGGCCTTACTACTAGGAACAAGAAGCTACTACTATATAGGAGCTCCTGGCATCGCTACTAGGAGCAAGGACGCTATTAGGGGCTCCTGGCCTTACTGCTAGGAACAAGAAGCTACTAGGGGCTCCTGGCATCGCTTCTGGGAGCAAGGACGCCACTAGGGGCTCCTG